TGTGTTGATTGACAAAGAGACGGATAGTCTCATTATTTGTGATTCAGTGAATCGACGAGTCGTTCGATGGTCTCGTCGTAGTGGTACAACTCAAGGAGAAATCCTCATCGACAACATAAAGTGTTGGGGATTGACCATGGATGATCAGAGATATCTCTACATCTCTGACTACGGAAAACATGAAGTAAGACGATATCAAATAGGAGACAAGAATGGAACTCTTGTAGCTGGTGGAAATGGCAAAGGTGCTGATCTCAATCAACTCAACGACCCGACCTACATATTTGTCGACCAGCAACAGACTGTCTACGTGTCAGACAACGACAATCATCGTATAATGAAATGGAATAAAGGTGCAAAAGAAGGAATTGTCGTCGGTGGAGGTCAAGGGGAAGGGAATGCTCTGACACAATTGTCGCTTCCTACAGGGCTATTCGTCGATACATCGGGTACCATCTATGTGGCAGACTCGTTCAATCATCGACTGATGCGTTGGCCTAAAGGAGCGAAACAGGGTACTGTCATTGTGGGTGGAAATGGTAAAGGAGAAGGAGCAAATCAGTTCAACTATCTCCGTGGTTTGTCCTTCGATCGACAAGGCAATCTCTATGTCGTTGATCGTGATAATAATCGTGTTCAACGATTTTCAATTGAATAGACTCAAAACGATGAATTTGTTTTTGCGCTCCTTTCGTTTCAAGTAAATCGTATTGAATTGATGAAATGAATGGCTTATTCTATTCGCGCGCGACCAGGAACCATCCTGGTGGAGCCGTGGCGAGCGTAACGCTCATGCACACACAGGACAGACTCATATCATTCATACCCTCCCCGCGAGAGATATGTCAATGAGTCTGAATAAGCCTGGTCGTGTGCCACGGACACAAAGACGATTCCTGGCCGGGGTTTTAGGGACTACCCGGAAGTCCTTCATAAGAGACGAAACCCTAACCCTCAACGAACAGAACTCACCCTCGTCTCTCACTAACACTCACTTTTCTTAGTCTCACCCTAACCTCTCAATCTCCCTACCTATTCTCATCTCAAAAAAAAAAAATTACTTAGCGTGTCTGATGTTGATGACGCGATGATATTGATAGCTGAAAGGAACAGAAAAAAAAATTTAATGAATGTTATTTAATGAAATAGAATGAGATGACTTACCCTAATGTTATCTTTTTCTTCATTGTTTATTCCCTAAAATAAAATAAAAATAATAAAAAGATCAAAGAAGGCCTTACTCCACCATCCTTATGATCGTAAAAGAAAAAAAAATAAAAAAAAAGTAAAACTAATACCTACATTTTATTTTATTGTCTGGTTTGTTGTTGAATTGTTTCATATTGTTTGGTTGAAGCCAATCTAAAACAGAAAAAGAAAAATGATTATTATTTGATTCAAAAATTTGAATGATTTTACATAGAAAATCATTCGTATATATACCTTGAAAAATCATTTTTTTCTCTCGTCGAAAATGATATACATATTTAATTGTACATGTTGATCATTCATTGTCAATGATAACAACACGAACAATGATTTATGGACGAGAGAAAGACAAAAAAAGAAAAGAGAAAATTCCTCTCTTCATATACTTAGGGCATATCAAAAGTACTGGCAGTGACACTTTAATACCCTATAGTAGGCTTTAAGAAACTTTCTTTCTATATAGTCTGATAGAGAAAAAAATGCTCTATCTTTCTATACTATTTGATCGTACTTCAACTAATCTCATAGTATTAAATTATCTATAAAACCAATTTCGGCTGGTTATATGCTGGTTGTAAGTTTTGCATTGCAGTTTTCGATTTCTTACTAGTTGTATTAATAACCAAAATATACTATAAGATGCAGCGTGAAAAGCTCTACAATTTGCATACGACCATTTATTTTATAGCTGCAATTTTTGTTTTCGAAATCGACAAAATTTGGAGCAATCAAATTGTGAAGATGCGAAAAAGACAATGTTTTCGATACACAACGAATTCATTTTTGTTATTTCATTGTTTATCACCTGATATGCTTTACCAAAAGAAAAACAAAATATACCACAAGATGCAGCGTGAAAAGCTCTACAATCTATACAGTAAAGCTTATTGTAATTGTTTTCAAAAAAAGGAAAATTCTATGCGACCAATTTTCTCAATACCAAAAATTTGATCCCTCAAAACTGTATCGATTTTGAAAGCAAAAAGTGCAGCTATAAAATAAATGGCCTTATGTAAATTGTAGAGCTTTTCATGCTGCATCTTATGGTATATTTTGGTTGTTCATACAATGTCTTGAGGGATTGAAAACTAGTCTGTTCTCACACGTTGTAATCTAGTACAACCAGCACATAATCAGCCGAAATAGGTTTTATGGATAATTTAATATTATGAGATTAGCTGAAGTACGATCAAATAGTATAGAAAGATAGAGCATTTTTTCTCTATCAGACTATATAGAAAGAAAGTTTCTTAAAGTCTACTATAGGGTATTAAAGTGTCACTGCCAGTACTTTTGGTATGCCCTAAGTAGATGATAAAAACTTTTATTTTTTTCAAAAAAGAACATCTTTAAAGTAATTCGCTTAATTTTTTTTCTAGGTCTTTGTGTTCTTTTTGAATGGCGGCTAATGCCTCTTGTTTACCAAGTGGTTGAAGTATCCATAATGAAATAATCTCGTTGATCTTTCTATTTGACACAGCCACAAGTTGCGTAGCTTGCGTTAGCTGGAAATATAAAAACAAAACAAAATTAATAGTATTTGCCAAAAAAAAAACGGTTAAGAAAACAGGCAGAGGTTAGGTAACAAATTGATCTATTAAAACAAATGCTTAAGAAAAACTTTTTCTTGTTCGACTGAAATGGTTTATGACGAACCACAAAAAAAATGAGCACCTTATTTTCTTCCAAAGCCATTTTGTATTTACGTCCGCAAAATTGTTTCGTGACTAAATAATCGTCGTGACCTTGCGAAGGATAATAACACGCGTTGTTCAATCGAAAATGAGTATGCTAGTGTAAGCACGGTTGACGAGCGAGTGACTTCTAAGGCAGCTGATAGAATAGGAAGATTTTTTTTTTTCTTCCTCAACGGTCAAAATAAGAGAAAAACAAATCGTGTGGTCCATCATCGGTCAAGTGAGAAGAAAGAAAAAATTAGTCAATCATTCACAAATGCTAGCACAAGCAAACGATTGATACCAAAGTGTTAGAAACAACTGACTCATGAAATCGAACAGGATAATTTTCCTGTTTCTATGGAAAACGTACAGGAAAGAAGCAAAGAAATAGTTTTCTATTTATGGACTATTGAAAAATAACAAACAGAAGTCATCTATTATTGTTTTCCTAGTATCACTTTCGTTCTATGGAAAATTCTACACAATCTAATCAGCTTACCAGACTTGTTCGCGGGATAAAAGTTGCATTTGCTCGGAGCTCGTTGTAGATTCGAGCAAAATCTGTTGGATGTGCATCACGCACATGATTCCAGTCCATCTTAGTTTCGTCGAGAGTTAAACCATCCATAGATCCACCTGTTTGAAATGTTTCTTTGTCACCACATACCGGGCAACAAAGATCACCATTCTCAACTGCAAAAAAAATTTAGACAAGAAGTTTCACAAATTCATTTTGAAAGGAAAACGAAGGCTAACCTGCATTGTATTTAAACTTTTTGAAGTACTCGAAATTAACATTATCCATGTAGTTTAGCGGACTAAATAAAAAAACAACTAACAATGATGAGAGTAAAAGCGAATCTGTCTCACTTTATAGTTTTTACTACTCGATGTAATATTCAAGATAAAATAAAATTGAATAATCAACGACCGATTGATCTGAAAAGAAAGATCAACGATGATGAGAGTCAAAATAAATATCTCGTATTTTAGTTATTTTACTACTCAATATCGATTCCAATACAAGATTAAACGAAAATCGGTTGACTTAAATTTAAAAAAAATCAACGAGGACGAGAGAACGGATGCATTCTATTCGATTACGACAATAGCTGTACAGTTATGAATGAAAATGAAAAAGAAAAGTTTAAACGTGATGTTAGCAGATAACCCTGGTAGTATTATATATTTTCTTTTTCGTTCTCTTTCTTCTTTTTAGTTATTTCTTTGATGTGATATATTTCAGGTCATTTTTCTCTATTCTATATTTCTCTCATGTTTTACACCCTGGATCTAGTTCATACATATATATGCGCATTTCTTTCTATTCTAGTTGGTTCGTTATGTAGCTTAGTCATTATGTGTGTGAAGATGTACGTGTGTGTGAGGACATTTTTTGATTTGAAATAAATAAAGGAAAGGGTCGAACATCAGACCTCTAATACGTGAAAAGATGGTTAAAGAGGACAGTAAACAAAACTAACTATTTCAGATAAAGAGAACAGAACGAATAGCTGACGATTTCAGTTAGAGAAAATAAAATGAATAGCCGATATAACGAAAAGAGAAGAAACGATAGAGGACAATGAGAATAGATGATGAACGTGACTTGCTCACTAGATTTTTGCTCGCAACATCAAATTCGGAAAAATTTTACGAATGATAAATATAGATGTGTTAATCATGAACTACTATATAATTATATTATTGAAAAGAACAGCAAGAAATGAGACGAAATAATAAAAAGAGACATTTTAAAAACAGAAAATGGGACATACACTGTAACCAATGATAGATAGATGTTCGTAAATAAGGGTCTTTGTGATCTTAGAAAACATATAAATTGAATCCGGTATCACTTTCAAATTCGATATCAATCGGATAGATATGTTCGAATCATTCACTAGTCGTGACGAAAATATCTTCAATAGAACGTCGTGCTCAAGCTAGAAGTATTGCTCGTCGTTTCTTAGTGATGTTCACCAGAGGTGCTTTATCTATTTTTCGCGTTGAAATAAACACGATTGTTTCTTGATCGTCATCCGACGAACATTCATTTTGTTCATCATTAATGTCATTGCAGATGAATGTTGCACTCATTTCTTCTGAGATTTATCCTTCTTCAGGATCAAATCCATTCAATCTATTCTTTTCTTTGTTTTTACCGAATCTCTGATAGATCGAATAGGAGAAGAGACTTGCAAGATGGTCACCGAAACAACTGTTGTTCCATTAATTACTGATGCAAGTATTGTAGATATTGGTGTTGGATTTGTAGTTAATGATGTAGGTGGAATTATTAAATATGAAATAGCTGTTAAATGAGATGTGAAATCAAATGCAGTTGTTCTTGGACCAACAGCACTTGTTGGTAAAACAAACTAAAATTAAACGTAGATTGAAATAATAAAAATAAAGGCACAAAAAAAAGCTTACTAGTGAATTCGCAGCAATAGTCCTGGGACTAACATCACGTGTAAATCTAAAGTATTGATTTTTATCAACCGATTTTGCTAATGTAACTTCAGCAATCGGATCATCAGTTTCTCGATCTAATTTGAAAAAAAGAAATAAATAATTAATAAGTAAAATAATAAATACCATTCATAAGATTCATAGCATGTGAAGCATCATCACGTTCTTTGAAATGAACAAATGCATAATCTTTTAATTTCGTGACACGTTCAACTGAATTTGGCTTAAAACATTCCAAAATTTCTTTTATTTGTTCTTCAGTTGTATTCATCATTAAATTTCTAGCATAAAGTATTCGAACCTAGATTCAAAATCAAAAGAAAAGAAAAAAAAACAATAAAAATAATAATAATAATAGTCTTACAGCTGCCGTAATATCTTCATCCACTTCCGCTTCAGATTCAGCTCAATCTATAGCAATTTAATGTTTCCATAATTAAATTTTTTCTGGTAATAATTTCCTTCTTGTCATAGCAACTGATCGATGACTTTCATATTCAACAAAGCAAAACCACGATTTTTAGTTTTGTTATATGCACTCGAATAAACAATAACACCAACAACAAGATAACGCTCGTCGTTACGACTCGCTTGACCCTCGACTGAACTCTTTCTATTCATCTTGGGAATTATTGTCAAATAATTCGCCGATGTATGCGATGCTACTGATGCTACAATAACATTTGATTCTAACTTATTCTTTATTTTTTCAAAATAATATTTATTGTTGAAACTGTAACATTCATTGTTCATCATGCATGTTCAAAAGATCAGAAAAATGTAGGACTGCTGCCCCTCGATTGATTAATTTTACACTCATATCTGTGAAATATCTCACGAGCAATAGATTACTACCTGCTAGTCGTTAGCTTCCTGCCCATAGATTGGTTTCGATACATCTACAAACAAATGATTTACCTGTAAATAAGAGACGTTGACACATATCTCGCAGAAAACTATTTGATTTATAGCAAAATAATTCTTGATAAGAATGCTAACGAGAAGTTTCCGTCGTTAACTATCGGCTATAACTTCAATTTCAAGATATTTCTAAATGTTCCGCGTCATATCGAAATTTCTGCATATCACACTCTTAATGCTTTCACTATTAGTTACAAAAGCAGGAAAGTAGAAATAGTTAAATGAACAAGGATTGGATATTGTAAAAAAAATGCGTGCCTTAAATAAATTATACAAGCCAGCGACTAGTCGATCGTCGGCAGCCCTCTGAGGTGCCACTCACGGCTAGTCGCTACTATGTTTACATCTCCTATACCAACTAATCGTCCAATTCAGATTGCAATTCAATCAACTCTCATGGGACACTTTACGAAAGACTATTCTATTACTATAAAAAAAACTTCTCAATGAGAAATTTCAAACTAGATCTATTTAAAGAATGCCTTTGAGTAAAGTAACAAATGTCCAAGTTAACTAAGTGTTACCGTAGTATTTAATTGCTTCTTCTCTTTTATAACCAACGTTTAATGATATTCCACAAATGCATATAAATCGCTTCGCACTCTAATTCACAACATTTATATACAATTTGTTCAGTAATATTATTTGACGTTCGATTTCTA